GAGAAGTGGGAACAGCTTGGATGGCGTCTAACAGAGAATGGGAATAGCTTGGACGGGGTCTACCGGAGAAATGGGAACAGCTTGGATGGGGTCTAACAGAGAATGGGAATAGCTTGGACGGGGTCTACCGGAGAAATGGGAACAGCTTGGATGGGGTCTAACAGAGAATGGGAATAGCTTGGACGGGGTCTACCGGAGAAATGGGAACAGCTTGGATGGGGTCTAACAGAGAATGGGAATAGCTTGGACGGGGTCTACCGGAGAAATGGGAACAGCTTGGCCAGGGTCTACTGGAGAAATGGGAACAGCTTGGCCAGAAGGTGGAGGAGATAGGGATGCTGGCTTAAATTGTGGTGAAATTAAGAAGAGTCGGCTGCAGACAGGAGGAAGAGGAAGAGAGGGATGCCACCGGCTCTTTGGTAATTCGGGGCATGGAAAGAAGACCAGGGAGGCCGAAGCCGTCAGACGTCGTTTCGGCAAAAGCCGGGGACGGTTGGGAATGGGAGCAGCGTTGAGGGGAGAGGGGCAGCGTTTTGGGGCCCTTCTCGTTGGCGTCACGGCTTGACCCTCCCGTCATTGCCCTTTACCAGCTGCTTTCTCTTCTTCCTCCCAGGCGATACCGGTAACTGGTATTCCAGTGATGAAGATGACGGTGGAAGTAGCGTCACCTCCATCTTGAAAACCCTAAGGCAACAAAGCTCCGGCAGACCTCACCCCCAACCCTCCCACGGAGAAATCGGGCCGCCCTCCGGCGTCAGCGACCCTCGCCTGCAAAAAGCCCAAGCGGGAGGGAGCGGTCGTCCTGCCGATCCGCGTTTACGAGATCCCAGGCTTTCCCGCAACGCGGACCTTTCCGGCCCGTCTCTTCCCGGGGATTCGGGACCCACCGACCCCAGGCTCGCGCGACACATTCCCTCCTCCACCCCTAAACCAGAAGCTCCTCATTCCGGTGGCGGTGGGCAGAAACCCCCCCTGCTCCCCGAGGAGGAGGAAGGGGAAAGGGCTCTACGGGATAAACCGGTCAACATCCCCTTGGATCCTCTCCCGGGCCATTCCCTGCGGGATCCTCGCTCCCAGCTGCAACAGTTCAGTCACATCAAGAAAGACGTCGTCCTCAACAAACCCAACTTTGCCCGGATGATCCTGTGGAGCCCAGAGGATCTCATTCCGCTCCCCATCCCAAAGCAAGAGTTTATTCCCGTCCCGGCTGCCCTTCAATCCATGCCTACCCTCGATCCCCGTCTTAACAGATCCCAAACGGGGCTTTCCGATCCCAGGCAGAGGGGGGGAACGGCGCCGGGGGACGCCGCTTCCTCCTCGGGCGCCGGTCTCCCCGATTTCGAGCTCCTCTCGAGGATATTAAAGACTGTGAACGCCGCCGGCAGTCCCTCTTCCAGCCAGAGCGACAAACCCAGCGATCCTCGCGTACGGAAAGCCCCCGCCGATCCCAGATTACAAAAATCTACGGAAACGGGGGGTTCGAGAGCTCCTAAAACGACGGAGCCGGCCTCTTCCACCGGCGATTCCGCCCCGGCCATCGCTCCCTACGACCCTCGGTTGTTGACGGCCGGCGGGTTGAGCAAAGGCAGCGGGCAGAGCAGCGTGCTCAGCGCCATCAGTTTATACGATCCGAGGACTCCGAGCTCGGGAAACAAAACTTCCGAGTCTCCCAACGAAAGCAACGCGACCTCCAAATCTTCAGATTCCTCTAAAACCACCGGTAAAACCAAGGAACCCCTTTTCGTCCGACGATCGGCCTTGGAACAACCCGAATCGGATAAAACCAGCGCCGAAACCGCTACGGACAGGTACAACAGCTACAATCGGCCTCGGCCCAAAGCCACCGGAGGTGGTGGCACCGCCACCGTGGGTCCCCCCACCCAAGAAACCACCCCCCAACCCGGGGTACACAACCTCCCGGTCCCTTCCGTTTACGGAATGGTCAAAGCGAGCGCCAAATCCGGATCGGGAAGCCCCTTCGCGGGCAACAGCCCGGCGCAAGATGGCGACCAACAAGACGCCGCTTCCCTTAAAGAGGTTTTTAAGGGTTTCGATCCCACGGCTTCCCCTTTTTGCCAATAAAATTGAAGGCGCTGGGGGGCGGGGGGGGGTGTCAAAAAAAAAGTCCAAAAATTCCAAAAAACCCACCCAAAAATTCCAACAAAACCACCCAAAAATTCAAAAAAAACCACCCAAAAATTCCATCAAAACCACCCAAAAATTCAAAAAAACCCACCCAAAAATTCCAAAAAACCCACCCAAAAATTC